CATTTGCATTAAGATCTGCTTTCCTCTGCTATGGAGACATTATCCAGTGCTCTGCCGAGACGCATCAAAAGCTAAGGTCCCTGCTGCGTTTTATTTACTGTTGGCTGACGTGCATGGACAGTAGAAAACAAATGTAAACACAAATTGGTGCTGTGTACTACAAAAAGCACAGCACGCTTCCTGGGGATTTATGGCCATCTGGGAAGAAGGGAGGAACGGGGGGCAGCCCGAGGTCAGCAGCTGCGGCACCTTGTTGGCAGATCCCAGCACGGTTTCTGTGCCACTGATCGCTCCGGTGAGGTGGGTGGAGAGATCTGCTCTAAAAGTAAGGCCATATCTTCAGGCAGAGGAAGATGAAGCCAGTGGAATTGTGCTGAAGGCTTCCGTAATTTTTCTGGAAAATCCACGTGTTCTGGATGTGGCAGGCTGATGGCAAAGTGCCCGCTTGTGTGGAGATGTCAGCTGTTGGCTAACGGCAGCTCTGGCCAGTCTGTGTGATATCCTTCAGTCCTGAGCAACGCACAGATGCCTCTTCGTTCATCTGGTTAAAACTTTCATGTGCAAAAAAAGGCCGCATTAGCTGAAGTTCCCTTGTGCATCTGCTCGATTAGTTGCATAATATCACGTTGGCATCAGCGCTGCTGGTGAGGTAAATGCCCCTTGCCTACAGCAGCAATGCACATGAGGTCAGTATCTTCTGCAACCTGGCATCAAGTCACCTCTGGGGACACGGTGACGAGACAGGCTTCAGAGTGAGCCACCACTTGCTCTGGGAAAGACGAGCCCTTGCTGCCTGTGTTGGTGGCAAATGAGATGCTGGCTCATGGAAACATTATAATGTTGTTTTTTTTTTTTGTTTTAAGCACAAAGGACAAACCTGTTGTGGTATTCCCAAAACAAACCAGTCCAGGACCTTCACAGCATCTGGGTGAACCAGAGAGCCTGCTAGGCTGTTTCACTACTGCCCACCACTGAACAGGAGCAGCAAATCCATCAGCTTGGACAGATTGCCCTTGTGACAGTGATTCATTAGCAGTTGTCACATCAGTTTTGTCTCCATGGCAGCCTCAGGTCTGACAAATGTGACAAAGCTGTGTTTTATCAGCAAATTCCCTAGCAAATCCCTTACTGGCCCTAGTCAGGAAAGCATATGGATAAGAGAAAATTATTCTTCCTTCTCTTCGTTACTGACTGTTTCTGTTCTTTGTATGTGAACCAGCCAGCTAGGACTAGTTGCATTCCTCTGTAATTTGCAGTACCTCCTGTATGTGGCTGAGGGAGTGATGAATTGATACCTTTCATCATTTGTTGAGAAGTTTTATTCATTGTTTCAACAACCACGGAAACACCAAAGGTCAGACTGAACTTTTGGGGCAACTGAGTGGAAGCACTGGTTTCTGACAACTACAGGGCAGGCTGGGGCACCTTTGGGTCAAACTGGCTGGTTTGCAGTGGGCGTTCAGATAGGTACGTTGGCTTCTCCAGGAGAAATACTGGCTGGGGTTCAGCTGTGGAGTAAGCAGTTGGGCTTGCTCTGTTGCAGGCTGTTTGTTTTTGGTTGTCTGAGAGCGAGTGCAGGAGCATTTCATTTATATTTATCTCATAATCTTGTTATCTCCCTTTGAAATTCCTCACTGAACACTATAAGATGAAGCAATATGCAACTTTTTTTTTTATCTGTAGGTCATCTATTAATATGTCGTATGACAAATCGCATACAGATATGAAATGAGGCAAAAAGAGTAAAATGATGGACATTCAGAAATCTCTTTTTATCACCAAGCTTTCAATTTTGAAATCTAGAATGACCTGCAATATAAGTATTTGATCTTTTTTTTTTTTTTTTTTTTGCTGAGAAAGTAAAAGGAAGGAGGAAGATATTAGTTGAATAAACTGGATAATCTGATTTAAAAAAAAAAAAGAAAAGAAAAGAGTTAGAGCTTTGGAAAGTATAATATAATTGCCCTTTCCTGAATTGAATCAGCTCTGTTCATAAGCATTCAGTCCATCTATACAGGGAATTGCAAACAGGATACAGCTTTGCTAATACTGGCAGGTAATGGATTTTTTTTTCCTTAAGCAATAGACCACTTGGGCTTTGTATCAGAAGGTCGTGAGGCTGTATCCTGATACTGCACACTGGTCACGTGCAGTCTAGCTGATATCTGTGTGTATGGTATATACGTGTGAATTACTGCTCACCTCAGCTAGCTGTATAAACAGCACTGAAAATGTCACCAGCAATATTTTGTCTCCAAACCCGTTTTTGTTCAGGAAATCCTAAATTTGCCCAGTGGAGATCTCCAAGAGAGTAGAGGCTAGCCTGCTTAGATCAAGACTACATTCTGGGACTGACCATCTCATTCGACCACATCCAGGCTGTGCACAGGCAGTGGTGCTGAGGAACTCCCAGGCTGGTGTTTTCCAGCTGGGTCTTGTGCTGCAAGGAATAACTTTTGGTTTACATTTTTTAAGCAAATTCAATCAGACTCTCTATTTTGAGAGTGAGAAGGCTTACTAAGAAGGGGAAGGTAATGCTTAACTAATGAAGTATTTCTTGACAAGATTTGACATTCTGTTATGTCTCTGACAATGAAAATACGATGGTCATCATTTGAGGACAGCTAGTCAAAAGGGATTGATAAAAATGTTGTATTGTATGAACCTTGTGAGTTAGCCTGACTGACACCAGCATGATTGTTTCCAGAACTTCACTCAGAGTTGTGGGGAGCTAATCACCAGTGTAAGGACAGACCCAGGCATAAGAAGTCAGTCTGGCATTGTCTTTGCCTTTTACTGTGTGGGGCAAAGCCAAATTTAAGTGAAGCAAGCCTGGCAAGAGGAACGCTTGTTATGAGGTCAAGGGCAGCTGGTGGCAACGGTATACAGCATTACCAATTTTATTGCATATTCCTTTTCAAAGCTGCAGCAAAATTAAGCTTTAGTTGATTCATGAAGTTAACTGCGAAATTTCCTCCTCTCCCAGCAGCAGTCACAGCAAGCTACCTCTTTCATTGCACCTTTCTGGAATGCAGTGGTCAAGCAAGAAATTGTGAAAGCATCGTAGTGAGCTCAGGTTGCTAGGATGTTTGAAGAGAAACTACTCAAGTGAAACTAACTTTATGGTGTGTGTGTGTGTGTTTTTCTCTCCTCCTGTACAGTGTTCAGAATGGTAAGACCTACTCTGTGGCTAAGTTTCCTAGGTAGCAAGTATAATAATAACTGGATTAATAAAAATGAGGCCTGACAGCATCGCTGTTGAATTAACTGCCCTACTGCCTTACTTTTACCTCTAACTCTCCAAAAGACAGACAGACTCACACACACAAACTGGTTTTGAAGAGCCTTTAATTATCTTCTGATTAAGAATTATCTTCTGGTAGGAAGAATAAATCAGTCAGCGTGTACGTCCATTTGCTCATTTCTTTCCTGTCACAAATCTGTGGTTAAAAATACAGTACTCACAAAATCTCTTCATCCAGAATCTTAATGGGAAGTTTGTATTTCTATTCTGTTTCTGTACCCAGCACATTCCTGCAGGCAGTTCAGAAGGGGAAGTGGAAAACTGGCTTTTTAGAACTGTGCAAAAGTGCTTAGTTTCTTAGCTATTTGCATCCAAGTTCGGGATTTTTACTCTGACTTTAAAATCTTTTCCAAGAAAACCGAATTTGAAGCCCAGACAGTATTCCCATATAACTGACTGAGTCATCTTCCTTGGGAATTGAGGGATCACTATCGCCTAATAACTAAGATGACCAGATAGTTAGGAATTTGTTGTAAGCTTATATTATACCGCTTATTATTCTTTCTTATTATTGTAAAGTCATATATGGAGAAAAGCTGTTGTTATTCTGAAACCGGTTTTCTTTGTATTGATGTAGTGGCAACCAAACCAAAAAATGGTTGCACTCATGAGGAGTAAGATGGAGAATTTAGACTGTTGTAATGCTAGTTCTGGTAGTTCCTGTAATAACATACTCTGCAGTAGCTGGAGAACACGCACCCAGTTTGGATGCAAAATTACTCCTCAAATTCAGAAGTACTTTCTAGAGAGAGACAGTATCAATTTTCGGAAGTATTTGAGTGCTCCGTTGGACTAAGACGTTTTAAAATTGTAAGAAACAGTTGGAAGCTTTATTGAAATAAAAATGAATTTGACTTGTAGGTAGATGTGGTAATTCTGCTAAAAATTCATTACAGTTAAGAGACTTCCAGGTATCTATTGTGGTCCAAGGACAATGCTCTCAAAAGCCCCAACGCCCTACTGCCTTCCAGAAATGTTGAAGTGCTCTGGAGGTAGAACTCAAATTCTGTTAAGCACCTTTGCAAGCTGTTCCTGTACCTTTGCTCTGTGTTCTAGTGTGTGCTAAAATGATGTATCTTTGAACTGATATGAAGTCACGTTGGCCAAACTGTATTTACTTTTTTTTTTCAGATAGAAAAAGCGTGCTTTTCAGGTCTACAATTATGTAGCATCACCACTGTAGCAAGAAATATAAACAGTTTTCATTTTAGATGAAAAGAGAAATTGAAACCAAGTTGTCCTGAGCCGTGCAAAAGCTGCTTCAGCAAGGGCAAAGAGGATCCAACTGGGGGTCTGGGGTCTTTGGGCAGCATACCTTTTGCAGTTGTTAAACGAAAGAGTGGTCAGGAGCAAAAAGAATAAGAGATAAAAAAAAAAAAAAAGTGATGAAAGCACTTTTGGCTTCTTGTGGCACTTCTTGTGGCACATTGCTTTCTTACATGGAAGGTGAACCTCTTTCTGATGGAGTTATAGCTGCCACGCTCTTTAGTTAACATAAAAACATTAAAAATACTTGTTACCTTAGTCGCAAGTAAAATCACTCAGAAATTAATTTAGAAAAGATACTCTGCAGTAATTGTTGTCACGGCATGGTTCGCTTTAAATCGTCATCCATCCTGTAAAGCAGTTGCCCAGAGTCAGCCAAATAGAGTTTGAAGACTCAGAGGGATCTAGACTGAGTTACTATACGTGATTAGATGACCAAGTCACTGAAATGTAAGAACACTACTAAGCAAAGGAGATGTAGTGGTGGTTTTACACTGGTCAAAACACATGCTTTTAAGTCATCAGATGGAAAGCTTTTACCAGTACGTGAATGTTTGGTTTATAGTTAGCAAATAAATCACTTTCACTGTGGAAGAAAACCATACCTGATGGCTCTTGTCATTTCCTTTGATTTCATTTAATGGTTTATGTCAACTCAAGTCCAGTCCATACTTCTCCATACCCTGTGGACATCTGATTTTGTGGTATGTTTTGGGTATATTCTGAACAAGTTATGGAGTTCTAGTGCAGTAAGTGTTGTGAGTTAGCTGAGAAAAGTTAGTATTTAAAAATGTATGTCAAATCACAGGTTGGATTTTCTGGGCTGAAGGGTACCAGCTGATTGATTTTAGAGTTTTTTTTTTTGTTTGTTTTGTTTTGTTTTGTTTTGTTTTGTTTTTTTCTTCCCTCTCCCAATGTGGCAATTGTGTTAGCCTGAGAATTTTAGTGTAGTTATTTAAATTGCATTTAGTTTGTGGTGCTTTGACATCAGATATGTCTTTCATCTGGAAGCATAGAGAGAACATTTTATTAAAATGTTGTTGGATCTCTTGCAATTTTTGGTCTTTTTTTTTTTTTTCCAGAGAAATATTCTAAGACACAGTATTAGAATATGGAGCCAAATCCTACAAAATGCAGTAGGTTGAAATGGTCATACAGACCAGTGTGGTTGGATCCCAATTCATCTTGAACATCAGAGTGTAGCAACTCCCTACAGAGCCTAAGGGAGGTCTCAAGACAGCTCTGAAAACTTAGCTTGTGTATAATAATAACCCAGTATCTTCGTGGCGCATCTCAGCTGCAGACCATGTGATGAATAGAAAGCACTGGTTATTTACTTTGTGTTTTGAAGTTGTCAGGAAGCATTACAGTGATCCTGTGCAGGAGTAATAGTGTTAGTGTGCTGTATAGACAGTCTGGTGGTGAGGTACAAGCAGAGCTGAAGTACAGTGGAGATCCGACTCCCACTTAATGCTGTTAGTAACAGAAGGACCCTTCTGATGCCTTTCCAGCTTCAATGGTTGGAGCTGTGTACACACAGTAGGTTTCCTTTTACTTTAGTCCTGTGGTACATAACTGCACTTGCTTCTTTCTGTCTGTGGGCAGTTGGATTCTGCTGCGTTTTCTCTTTGTGGATGATCACGGTTGAGAAGTTTGCTAATCTCTATTGGAATTGACAGAGAAAAATATTAGGGATATGGTTTTGAAATTGGAAAGTGCAGCACTATAATAAATTGTGGCTCTCTGGTTGAACACAAGGATGAAATTCATTCCAGACCCTGGAATTTGAACGGGACAGTTTATGAATGGAGCTGCAGCCCCTGGATTGTATTTCAGCATTAGTCTCTGGTTTGGAATTGTGCTATTTCCAACATTGACAAGGACGCATATTTTACAAACTTTCATTCTTCCACTGTTAAGACTGTTCACATGTACAATTTGTTGTTGTCTTTGGAGTATATGCCATAGGGAAAACACTTCAATTTTGTAAATAAACAGGTTAGTAACTGTTGTCTGAAATGTACTTATTGAAAATGGCTCTATATTTAGTTGAAGGGGAACTGCCTGATGCTCAGAGGAGTCACATTTTTCTCTGTTCGTGTCTTGTTTTATGGTCATCAGCTGTGCCCCACCTCTGTCACCTGTCAGACAGGGATAACTGCTAGACAGCCTCCCAGCCGTGCACATTGCTTATTGCCATCACATTAGAAGCTTAGATGAAAGCCACAATCTCTAGTAGATGTGACTTAGTATTGGTTATCCTCAGATGAACAAGCTAGAAGGCAATAATGTCTTAGTTATTCAATAAGCAAAGTAAAATATGCTTAGGTAACAGGTATTAGGAAACTGGGAATCTTGGAATGAAGTTTAAACTTTCTAGCCCCTGCTGTAGAGAAACAGCAGCTGAGAAATAGATCCTTAAAGACGAAGAAGGAGCCAAAACCTCCTGTCAGTTAACATACTGTGGTTTCTCCCCTTGCCTAAAACAGTTTACTTTTAAACCTCTCAGATGGATTATGTTATAATGTTGACAGTAACAAAAAATGATATGAAAAGCACCAAACAGAAAAGAGAAGCTTAGGCAAAAAGTTTGAAGTGTGATTTTTTACATCTGTTAAATGGAAACTTTTTTTTTTAATGTTTCTCACTGCGATATTTAAAGGTGGTGAATTCCTGTAACTGGCTGAGAAAAGGTAAATTCTGTTTTAAGGCTATATTTATGTCTGTCTTTGTTCTTTCTGCTAGATTGTAGTTTCAAAGCATAGAAATATCATTTTTTTAATTGATCTAATAAAAATATTCTCTAAGTAACTAAGTGTGGAGTTCAGACTAAAAGCTGAGGCATGGGCTAGATGGTCAAAAGCATCTGTTTGAGTTGCACTTGAGAAAAATGGAAGGACCGGTACAATACAAACACCTCGTTTTGACCAGTTTGCTAACTTGTGAGTATTGGGCAAGCAGAGGTAAATGCCACCTTGTAAGCTGGACTCTATTGACGTATGCTGCCCCATCTCGGTAAAGAATTTCCTGTTTCCCCCTCATTATGGCAGGGCTGATGTTGCTCACCTGCAGCAGAAATCTGGGAGCCAAGTGTTTCATCCTGTCTCACCAACTGAGTTTAAACTATCTATAGTGGAATCAGCTGATTTGGTCTGTATTTAGTCCAGGCAGCTGGAAAGTGAAATTTCCTCTCGTGTTTTTTTTTTTTTCTCGTCTCATTTAGCATAGATTATGATACTGTTGAGAAGGATTCCTGAGAAAACACTAATAGACCGTGGTCCGTGCACCATCTTTGCAGGACAGATAAGATAAAAACAGTGCTAATAATACCGGGCTGCAGGTTTAGCAATGTCTAGTGACTTCATCCCTGAACTGACAAGAGAGACTTCTGGCATTGCTTTGGCTTTATTTACTAATAGGGAGATACAGAAACTTTGGTCAAATAGAACGGTCAAGTAATCTTTTAAAACATTATTGTGTGTGTGTGTTTTAATAAATGGAAAGATAATGAAAAATGGCTCTGTAACAAGGTCTGTCTTTTCAAAGAGCAAATTGTGATGGAGGTGGACCAACTAGTTCGTAGCATGAGCTTGGCTGAGGTGGACAGGCACCTAAATACGGAGGAGGTCTGGAGTTCCCTGAAGTTAGGGACAGTAGAACTGACAGGAACTGGCTCTCAGGAAGGGACTCCTTTGAAAACAAAGCAAATTGAAGGCTGAGAAGAGCTGAGGAATAGAATAGGACCCTACATCCTATGTAGAAGGGTCACTTAGAGCTTTCCCTTCCAACTGATGGTTATGACTTTTTTTTTCCTGGTTTTAGTTCAGGTTCTCTTACTAGCCTTCACTGGTAAGGAGGTGTGCAAACAGCAAAGTTGGAAAGGATGTTGCAAGTTTTTTGTTTGTTAGTTTTTAATAAAGCTTTAATGAAGCTTTGAAAATTGTTACACAATTCAGATAAATTACCAGAAACATGCTTGTGAACTGTTCTCAAGAATGTTCTTTTAAAACAGGCGGTAGGAATCTGGGTCAAATACATTTGTTAAGTGGTGTTTTAAAATACTTTTATTTCCAGAGCATTAGTTTAAATGGTTATTTGTCCATACATTTCTATTTTTGGTTTCTTAATGCAAGTACCAATGTAAATATTTCTTTCTTATCCTGTTCTGTCTGTAAACTTTTGACTTGGATACCTATTTTCCAAACAGATTTTTTTAATCATAGGATAACCTTTTCTGAAACTTGTACTTGAGGGTCTGTTTGCTTTCTGAGGTGTGGGTTTTTTGTTGCTGTTTATAGTGCACAAAGAGAACTTGAGTTTTACCTCCTCTCCTCAACCGTAACAAACCCCAAACCCCACGTTTTGCGTGTGCTCTGGGGGATCACTGGGGACTCTGGTGAGAAGAACAATGTGAAGCAACTGAGACTAGCAGTGCTGATGAACTTTCAAAGAGATCTGTACAGAAAGTAGGAGCTTGTTTTTAGGTTGAGTCAGTGTAAAATTCTCTGGCACAGTCTTCAGGCTGAAAACCTGATGAACTGCTTGTTCGTCTGTCTGTCTGCTGTGTCCGCATGAAGCAGACATGCTGGTACTTTGCAGCCATCCCTATTTCATTCACAACGTATCTTTAGGAAGACCCTTTCTTACCTCCCTTACCTTCTTTATATTTGCGTGGAACTATTCATCTCCACAAAGCTCTGAATGAGGGCGGGTATTAAAGCTCCACCTGTAGGCTAAGGTAAAGACTCAAATTACTCGGTCAGTCTGAACAGGGCCTGTAGATCCCTTCATTCAAAGCTAAAGTCTTTTCCCCTCTCCAGCTCACTTCTGTTGCTGTTGTTTTTGTTTGTGTAGCATGTAGAACTCATTAGTACTATTTAAAATAAGCCTTAGAAATAAGATTCAAACTACAATACAGTGGCCTGTGGCCTTCAGTTGTGATGACTGAACTCCCATTGCCTAGTGGAAACTATAGAGGCCCTTTGTTATTCAGGCACTCTAAACTGCCTTAGAAGCAAGGTGCTTTCTGCACAGTCCATTATTATATATATTCTATATTGTGTATATAATAGTCTATATTATACACAGAAATACTCCAAAGGTATTTCGATTTTGCTCGTTGTTTCTCCTTAGATGTTTGAGTTTCTAGGTGACTGGACGACCCAGGCAGATTGAAATTTTGCAGTGTTTAGTAGTAGATAAAATAACACGTAGAAGTTGATAAGCTTCTTAGATTTATTGGACGTAAACTTCCTTACTAAATTAGAACTGTGTAAAAACTCTTTACCTTGGTTTACTGTTGACCTTGTTACTGAAATTTTCAGACAGATTACAGTGTGAGATCTGCTCACACTGATCATTGATCATCAAAATGATGATCATGATCAAATGATGATCAAATGATCATTGTCATCAAAACAATCTCGTTGTCTAACAGCACAATGAGTAATAGGGCTTGGCTGAAGCAGGGTAGCTTTGAAAGAAAAGGTTCAGCTGGCAAATAGCTTTTATTTCTTCCTTGAGAAGAAGAAAAGATTTTATTGAAATAAATGTGCTGTCCTTAGCATGGGTAAAGTACCTTGTTGAGAGTCCTTTGAAAGATCTCTGTAATACATTTAAAGAGGTTACTAAGGTGTTTCCTTGTGGAATTTTGGCTCCCTGTTTTCTGTCTGTTTTCATTGGGCATTCACTTGCGTAGTTTCTCTGAAAAGCCACTGTAGTGAATGACATACACTAAAGTCATACTCTTGTTCCTTGTAAGAAGTGCAATTCCTTCCTGATGCCTGAAAGCCTCAAACTGTGAGGCAAGGGTGAAAAATCCATTGAGAAACGTGAAGCTCAGCGGATCCTCCATCAAAGGTGTCTTTGTACGTACACCCTAGGCTTGCTGCCTAGCTTTATGCTTCTTGCATTAAATGAATTACCTGGTTAAAGCAGGTAACATCCAGTTTATATCAACCGTGCCTGAGAGTGATTCATCTTTTCAAAAGCACCTAAAAGTTTCACGCAGTTGCATACTGTTGACTTTCAATAATATTTAAGCTGCTAAGCAAACAAGCCCTTAATAGGCATTGGAATAACACTTCTGTTAACACTTAACATGAAGGCAGTGTTTGCTAGTTGCCTGGAACGGCAGAGTTCGGTGGAAGTCTGTTTTGTTTTGGCAGGAGAAGAAGAGACACTGTGCACCAAATCAAGTAAGCGTGGAGGAGATCAAAGCAGGAGCAATGAGAGGCTCTAACAAGTAGGAGCACGACTGCTTCACCTGTAGGCAGTTACAGGCCTATATGCATATCCTTGATGCAGAGCTGCTGTACTTACCTCTGGGATGCTCAGCTGCCCGTGGAACAGAAGGTCCACTTGGTGCTTTGCAAAGCTGCCTTTGAACGGTCTTTTTTGCACCCACGTAGGGGCCGTGCTTTATATGTCAGCAAGTCAAACACTGCCAAGCACCACCTCTTTCCTTTCAGGGAGCATCTCTATGTCGGAACAAATATGTGAAACCTCTTACATAGCACTTAATTTTAATGCTCATTCTAGCACTTGTATAGCATTATTAAGTACACGAAATGCAGAAGAAACAACTATCTCTTCCCTGAAAATTATGTGTAGGGAAAGGGTAGACTGATTAATTTCAGTATAGTAAAATTGGAGATGCTGGATACAGAATTCTGCATAAATCTTCTTAGTTTTAGTTTTAAGTGTAGTACTGTCATGTAAAAGCGTAGCCATAGTCAGGACCCAAAAAAATTCTTTGTCAATGGAGTCTGTTCAGTTTCAGCTACATTATTCATAAGATTCATTCCTCCCTCCAGCTGTTTCCACAAATTGAAAGACTTCATTTCAGCTTATAAATGCTATTTCCCCATTGTTCGTGCCCACAGCTATTTTCCATGCCCAAATACCCATCTCCCCACCCCAACCCCCCAAGACAAGAAATCCACACCCTATAAAAGAAGCCATGTAGAGTGGTCCTTTGAGGAGAAAATGGCACAACATTGGAGTTACCATCTGCAAAACTTCAGCAGTTGGTATTTTTTGTTGTGTATCTGTGGCTGGGTGGGGATATTGGGCACAGAGCAGGACATGGGGTGTGGCTACATTACCAAAGGGTTTTAATTTTTGTGTTGTGGCTTCAGTTTTCTCATTAAAACTGAAAAAGACAAAACTTGCTTCTTCAAGAACTGAAGAGCAGTCACTTGATGGTGACTGCTCTGGTGGTACAGCTACAGTAGTAAGAGAACTTGTTGCTCTCAGAAACTACAATGTACTGGCTTTTTAATAGGAAGACTGGTCAAATGGTTAAGAAACTACAGGTGTCTGGAACAGCAGAAATAATACCTTGAATCTGTGCCATAAAATTAAGCTACAGACTTTTACAAAAAAAAAAAAAAAAAGCCTTCTAACTTCAAACCATCTTCATGCATGTATTTTCTTCAGAGCCCCAGCTGGAGAATAGCTGCTGTGAAGATTCAGCAAAACTGAATTGCATGTTTTTGACGCTCCTAGACTTTGCAAGATCAGAAAAAGGATCCTTAGCAAGACTGCCGCATCTACAACAGAGGATAAGGAAAACCCCTTGTATGTGGATGTCCAACTGTGAATTCTTCTTTCAGGTTAAACAGGAAAGGATTTGTCTAGGGAAAATGAGGAGAACAGATCGTCACAGATATTAAACGCACACCAGAAAAGAGACGCAGTTACTCTGTGAACAAACTGCAGGAATTGGGTGTCTATAGGACCTGTGAGCCCTGGGCCTTTTGTATCTTCTATAAATTTCCAAGCACGTTATTAGCTAAAATACCAGAGTCCCAAATCATATGAGTAGATAGTCACAAAAGATTTCTATAATGTATTCATAATCTTATAAATCATTACCTTTTGGTGTTACAAGTAACATTTGTTTTGTTCTAGAAAGGATGAAATCTGCTGGTAGTCTGCCTGCTATATGCTAGGTACAGTTAGGATTCTGCCTGCCTCTATAATACAAATCATGGTCTTAGCATCATAAAAAAAATAAAATAAAAATCACAGGTTTTTATGTACCTTTTGGAGGATGAGGACTAAGTTTTGAATGAGCCATGGCCAAGTTTGTGGTATCAACTGGAAACCATGGGGAATTTGGTAATGCAGACTTCATGCCAGACAAAACTAGTTCATTTCTGTGTAGAATGTTTAGATTTTTTTTCATTAATCAAACCCAGGAAAAATATCTTCACATGGAGTTGAAACTGAAGAGTTTTTGCATGATAGATTTTATAAGCCTCAAAAGCCTTATTTGTTTTATGATGATGTTTTTTTTAGCAGAAAAGCATTATTTATAATCTGTGCATATACTTTAGCTAATTTACTTACTGGAAGGCAAATTTTGTGAAGTTTATTAACAAATTATATACCGCAGTATATACATAGTAGTGTATAACTGCACAAATGTGTGTATCTGTAATAACTTGTCTCCTTGCAGATGCACATTTCCAATTCTCTACTTACTGGTATTGGGTATATATACAAGTGAATTGAAAGAGGAATAAGGAAAGAACAGGAGACAGGAGAAAAGTCTGGGATACAATTTCATTTCTGGTATCCTCTGTGAGCACCAGCAAAGGAGTGTGAAACTAGACATCAGCTGAACACTATATAAACATGAATGCTATGAAGAAGACAGAGTTGGAGTTCGCCCTTTTGCCAGGTGGATTATATGGCTGACCATAAAGAACCTGGTTTGATGCTTTTATTGTTGAAGAGATACGTTAAGAGTAGACAGTGTCATTCAGAAAGCCAGCCTGATGCAATTACTTTTCTAGAGTAATGACACTTTAATGGATACAGTAAAATTATTCCTGTATAGAGAGCAAATTTAAATTCGATGTCTACACTGTTCTGCTTAAATCCATGAGAAAGAAGAAGAGGAACAGGAATGCCAGCCTCAGCATCAGACACATGTGAAGCATGTTGAAAGGCACCATTTGAAAGTGTTTTCTGGTTTGGACTCCAATGAGATAAGAAAAGCTTGCATCCAACTTTGCTGTATGCTTATTTACTTTTAGAGGGAGAGTGTACATGCATTCAGATAACAGTTTTTAGACCATGGTCTTGTCTTGAAGGATGTATTTCTATATGGGGGCTGTACCAAGTTCACCCTACAGCATGCAGAACACTCTCACTTTGGTGAGGAGCCAAAATGTTCCCTGTATGGGAAAGGGGGCTGAAATTGTATCTGATCTGAGTACTAATCTACATCCCTCAGGCTTATCCCGTGGCTGTTTCTGTGTTGCAAAGGCAACACTGGATATGCCTTTTCAATGAGATCATGCAAAATCAAATTGCCATTAAATTATATTTTACTCACAGTTTTGAATTGAGTTAAAGTATGAGCACTGGTGCTAAAACTTTGGGTAGAAATACAGATGCCAGACTGATGCTCCAAATGTTGTCTGGATGAAATTAATAATTTCACACAGATATTTTAAGCTCATGTTGCATGTTTTAATATTGTTAAACATAAGTGATAGCACATAACAGTACGGCAGCCAATCTGAAAACAAGCCATGGGACCCTATTCCTTAATGTACTGGCTACTTGCTCTTCCTGGATGCGTGTAGCTGAATGGAACAGAGTAGGATTGTGCTTTTTTCTTGATACGTTTTTGATGCTGTGTACTCTCTCGTGCTCTCTGGCAGTAGGGCTGTTAGCACTTCCTATGCAAGCAGAGAAGTGAGATTTGAGGAGGCAGAATCACCTGAGCCATACGCAGTGTGGGAGAGGCTGTACGAGGCCGTGTGAAGGGCTCTCGGTGACAGGGGTCATGCAGTGCTTCGTGAACCACAGCTGTGGGCCTTGGTCCCGTCCAGTGGATGAAATGGTTAAGTCTTGTAACAGTGCTCTGCATCAGGTTTACTCCTGGTCTGCGGACTGTGAGGAAAGATTGTTCCCTCAGCAGAACTCTCCAGCACAGTGGGTCTATTCAAGCCTGCATCTGGGAAGATAGTTAGTGCCTTCATTTGTGAAATTCCTATCATAGAATTGTAAGTTCTTTGGAACAGCGACTGGTCTCTTGAGAGATCTCTAACATCTCATGTACACAGCAGTATGTAAATCATTTTAATAAAAGGAAAAAGGAGAAGCTCTTCTAAATCGTCAAATGCCATCTCACAGCCTGGAAAGGTTGAAAAGATGTTTGATATCGTTCATGGTTTGTTTGTGCGTTTGTTTTTGCCCTGCCTTTCTCTAAAATCCCTTCACTCCCTTCTGCCATTCTGAATGTAATGTACGCGAGAGCAGAGCTAGCGTGTCCGTGGCCACAGTTCTAGCTTCCTTGCTCTGCTGGAGCACATGTTGCTCCAGGAAGCCTCAACAGAAGCCCTGTGCTGGCAGGAGCCACAGTCCGTGGCAGTTAGGTGGCTGTGATCAGCTCAGTAGGCTGGGTGGGTATTTCACTGCCTCCTACTGCAGGGAATGTTAAAACAGGTTGAAGTGTTTCCCGTTGTTCCACCGTCTTGTGGCCAGAGGCCTGATGAAAGGAGATTTGTAACGCTTATGCTTGCGGTAGCTTGTCAAAACTTTCCTTTCATGCAGGTGACAAAGGTCTGTGCTGTGGGAGCTGAACTTTCTTGAGCAAAGTGCCTCCTCTTCTGACAGCTGTGTGTACCTGTGGCTAACAGATAGCTGGGAAGATGCTCTCTGCAAATTCACAAACTGGCTTGTAGGTACTAAGGGAAGACAGCTCGTTTGCACAGTAGGTGGGGTATCAGTGGATATAACAGGACCGTGGCACCATTTCTTTTGCAATAGATACAGTTCATCATCCTTTAAGCTTATAAAAATATCTCTTCTAGCAAGAAAGAGCTCCTTCTCTCTTGGATCTCGTTGGTGTTTTTTACATTTGTGAAGGGCAACCCTTGACATTCCTTATGTTTCTTCTAATGGCTTTTCAGTGTTGATTCACACTTTCCTTTTTTGTTTTAGTGTGGAAGAGTGAAATTCCAGCAAGGCTGACTTAGTGAAAACTGAATTAGTGTTGATGGCTGGAGAGAAATGTAACTTGATCTTCTGTCTCCAGTGCTCGAATCAGGAACTGAAATAATTGTTCTAAGACCCTGGTAGAGTTGCCAGAAAATGGAGCCGTGCTTCTGCCAGATAGTCACCGCAGAAGTGCCAGACATTCCTTCCCTCTTTTGAGCGTGTGTGTGTGCATTTGAGAAGGAAAATGCACACAGGCAGCAGGGGACCAAACTACTTTTCACTCTGTGGTGCTCGCTGAGCCTGCAGTGCAGTATTGCTGGCAGGGCCCGAAGGGCTATCGGTGTGTGATAGCTGGCTAGGGGTGCAGACGCAGGACTCAAATGTAGGAGGTTTTTCGTTGCTTTTTCTCTGTTGAGTAGTGGCA